AATTTGAAAACTTGTTGTCCATTTTTCACAATACTAAAATTTCCATGCCTACTCAATAGTGATATTGCAGAATGCAATAACTGCAGAATGAGTTATGTGAAACAAACAAATACCTTGATGATGTGGGAGTGTCATATATCAATCTGTTGGTTTCATTGGTTAAGTAATGAAGAAACTGCTTGGCATCATATCTTAGAACATAGGTGGGTGGAGTAAACAGAACAGAATGCTGGGAGGAAGAGGAAGTGAGCTCAGAGACCATGCTCCCCTCTCCCAGGCAGATGCAAGCTATGAAGCAAGCCGCCAGGTCAGACATGCTGAATCTTTCCTGGTAAGACTGGTGCTTCACAATTTATTAGAGATGGGTTGATCAGGATATCAGAATTAGCCAGTAAGGGCTAGAGCTAATGGGCCAAGAAGTGTTTAAATGAATACAATTTGTGTGTTGTTATTTCTGGTGTAAAGCTAGCAGTGTGGGAGCCGGGCCTTGGGAAGAGGCCCACAGCTCCTACAACAGATTGGCCCCCAACTTGTGGACGAATGAATCCACTGAAAGCCTGAGAAAGCTTGGGAAAGAGTAAAGCATGTTTTCTTGGTAGCAGCAATTTCTTGGGTCTGCTCTGCATGCTAGAGGCAAGCAAGCACTCTCATCTAAGAGAGGCTTCCTGACTCAGCTTCAGCTGCAAAACCCTGCAGCTCTTAAGAGGTCCTGCCACGAAACACTTAAATGGTGTTGATAAAAGCTGACTGAATGCTTGTTTCTTTTCAGCAGTAGCAGGAAAAATGATGTGCTGTTTTAAAATGCTGGTTTTCTGGGCCATCCTGCCAGGGAAAACTCTGAATCAGACTCAAGCATGTAGTCTGACTGAATGTGGTCTGTGAGCAGAATCCTGTAGTTTGCTTGCTGGCAGGGACCTTAAAACGCCATAGAGTTGTGGCGGTAAACATGGCTACAACCAGTACCTCCGCCACAAGGTTGGAATGGCAGAAAGCTAAGGAATGGGCTGGATCCAGCTGCCAAAGCCACAGCTTTAGTCCTACCAATATGGCTTGGTAAATTAAAGACTCATGTGGTCAAAAAAGAGACATATACAGTAAAAGAAAGATACAAAGTCAAAGAAAAATGTTTAAATGATTTACAATGTGTTTAAAAAAAATATGCACCCCACTCCGTCTGACTCCCTTCCCTCTTTGACCACATAACATCTCCCAGCCCAGCCTGTTCGAGCTCTAGGACCGAATCCGAATTGGCAGGGCAAAAGGGAGGGTGGAAGCTCCTTTGTTCCCACTAGCCTGCCAGCACCGAGCTAGGTAGGTCCTTTGTTTACGAACCACCCAAGCAGCAAGGAGACCTGAACCCGGCACCAGGAGGGACATCACTGGGGTGAGTGAGTTTCTGACCGCGGCAGCAGCCCGGGACAGGGAACTCAGACACCCCTCCTACACTTCCTGGTCATCCTCAGGGGCTACTCTGCCCGATACCTCCTCTCTCTTCCTATCCCACCCAGCCTGCATCCACAACCCCCCCACTCCG